ACTTCTGTCCATAGTTCTTCTGGGACTCTGTTTACTCAATCTAGTCCTTCAAATCTGTTCTTCACTTCTACTGTATATTCGCTAGGAATGTTAGTGAGATCATATCTAACTGGTCTGTGTATTTTCCCTGATCTCTTTAGTTTTATTCTAAATTGAGCAATAAGAAGTTCGTGATCTGAGCTACAGTCAGCCCCAGGTCTTGTTTTCACCGACTGGATGGATGTCCGCCACCTTTGGCTGCAAAAGGATGTAGTCAATCTGATTTCGGTGTTGACCATCTGGTGAGGTCCATGTATAAAGCCGTCTTTTAGGTTGTTGGAAGAGAGTGTTTGTTATACACAGCGAGTTTTCCTGGCAAAATTCTATCAGCCTGCGTCCCGCTTCATTTTGTTCTCCCAGACCATGCTTGCCTGTGATCCCAGTTGTCATTTGACTTCCCACCTTGGCATTCCAGTCTCCTGTAATGAAAATAATGTCTCTTTTTGGTGTATTATCCAGTAGGTCCTGCAGATCCTCATAGAACTGATCTACTTCTGCTTCTTCAGCAGCTGTGGTTGGTGCATATATTTGGATCACTGTAATGTTGAAAGGCTTTCCTTGCACTCGAATTGAGATCATTCTGTCATTTTTTGGGTTGTATCCAAGCACCGCTTTAGCGAATTTCTTATTAATTAGGAAGGCTACTCCATTTCTTCGATGTTCCTCTTGTCCGCAGTAGTAGATCTGGTGGTCATCTGATGTGAAGTGGCCCATTCCAGTCCATTTCAGTTCGCTGACCCCCAGAATGTCTATCTTTAGTCTTGACATCTCGCCAATAACAACATCCAATTTGCCCTGGCTCATAGATCTTACATTCCAGGTTCCTATGGTGTGTTGATCTTTAGAGTATCGGATTCGTCGTTCACCTCCAGTACCGTCGGCCGCTAGCCTTCCTTTCGGCTTTGAGCTAGCTGCGTCATCACATCTGGGGCTAGTTGAACTTATCCTCTGCTCCTCCCCAGTAGCATTTTGGCCATCTTCCGACCTGGGAGTCCCATCTTCCAATGGCATACCGACATATCTCTGGTTGTACTGGTCCATTTAGTTTTCTTGGCAAGGATACTGGAGTGGTTTGCCATTGCCTTCCCCAGGGATCACGCTTGGTCTGACCTCTCTGCCACAACCGTCCCGTCTTGGGTGTCCCTTCACGGTTTCGCTCATGACATCATTGAGGTGCTCAAGCTCCAGCGCCCCGACAAGGCGGTGATCCTTTGCTGGAGTACAACTGTTTTAGAGTCTCTTTATTCATTGAGGAAGTTTTATAGAGTTTTTTGTGGTTCTTGAGACTATCTACACTGCAGTATTATTGCTGTTAAACACCGCATTAACCGCCATGGCTCCATTTTGGGGAATTCTGGGATTTGTAGTTTGTTATGGCACCAGAACTCTGTGGCCAAGAAAGGTAAATGCCTCAAAAAACTAGGAAATCCAGAATTCCATAACACTGAGCCATCGTAGTTAATGTGATGTCAAACTGTTTTAATTCTGCAGTGTGGATATAGCCCTTGTTCTTGTTGCTTTTAGAGTGGACAGGGAATTTCAGAAGCATTTAGGTCCAATGTGATTATGGTAGGAATGATCACAAAGTACAACTGCCACTTTTTGAATGTCTGTAAATTTCATGGAGGCTACAATATAGAGCAACTTCTATAATTGACTTTGATATAAGAGCTCAAGTGCTTTTGTCCAACCACTTGTTATACAGACACGGTGGTTTGGAGGTTGCGCACCAGAATAAACTTTGCTAAAGTACACAGCAAATACTGCCAGACAGATCATGCAGAAATCATCATTATCAGTGAACTTCACTAGCCTTATCCCAGATTTCAATTTGTGGAACTCATAATAGTATGCCTCAATCAGAGATAAATGCTGAACCCTTGAAAGCTTCTTCCAACTTCATTTAAAATCTGAAGAGGAATTGCATTCCTTGCTTGTCCCCTTATTTGTTAATATGCAGTATTTCTCAGATCTGTGCTGTCCCATTACCACAGCTTTGAATGAGTAAGTGAATGAATGAATGAATGCTGTAATGAGATTTTGCTCACCGGCTGAACGTAGCACATAGAAATGCACAACATTTCCAGTGGATTTCCTGTAAGGTTTCCTTAAAATGTAGTCTCTGTGAATCTTTACACATGAGCCATGTGTCGTCATCAGATGGTGTGTCTTTCAGCGGCATGTGCTGCTTCCTCTACAGTTTTGCAGTGAAGCCCACTGGCTCTCATCCCACGATGTTGGGAGGAGTCCAGTGTTCAATGGCGATCAACTGGGGGGGGGGGGGGGGCTGGGCAGCTGGCACTTCCCCTGTGGGATGGGGCAACAAGTGAGGTGATGCAGGGCATGGGGCAACAGGCTCCCCATGCCCCATGCTGGGCTCTGCCAGATTCACCACAATGCATGGTGATTCTGGAGGCATGTGTGAAGAGGTCCATAGTGATTGTAGAAAGATTCCTGCCAGTAATGACCTGCCCTGTGTCTCCCCAACAATCCAGTCTTACAGAATGCTGCCCCCCCCCCACAATGTACCAGAGACTAGTACTACATTTGTACCACAATATTATTATATTTCTTTCTTTCCTGGAAATTCAACACAGTCCACAGCTCTATTCTGCAAACCATGTAGCACTGGGCTGTTGTGAAAAGATGTTTAGATACATATAAGTTGTCAGGCAGCTAGGAATTGTGAAGGTTAGAATTCCTTTTGTAAATGCACCTGCTACAGATACTGTAGCTGGAGATAATGTATTGATCAAAGAGTTCATGAGACCTCTTCCAATTCTACAATTCTACAATTCTGTATTTTGTGTGGAAGAGGGAAAGTGTTTTCCTAATAGGAACTTTTCCCAGCAGCTTTTATGGGTACCGTTCTTTAAACCAGTCTGAGCAATTTGAAAGAGGCACAAATATGAAAGATTGCACCCACACAAGCCAAAAGGAGACAAGGGGAAAGCACCCTCCCTACATCTGTGAAGAGAAGCTTGCCCCAGTGGTTTTCACAATTGTGGTTTGTTTATCTCAAATACCTCACATGGCCAAATGGCATCTTTCCCACCAGAAGTAGTTGTTTCACAGCTAAGGATCTGAAACACCTGTAAAAGTTTCCTCGTGGTCAAATTAAGTGCAGTTCAGGAGACTGAATTTGGATTAGTTGAGTTGAGCACATCCTGATTGGGTGGGACCTGGGGAGGGAGGGAGCTGCTTCAAAATCCTGAGCCAATCTGATACACACCATAGACCACTGTTCAACTTTAGTTCCATTGATTTTTGGATCAGGCTAGTCATCATACTTGATTTCTGACTTCATATTTCTCATAGGAGATTCTTCACAAACACAGCAAGAATTTTCACAATATTTTAGTGTTATAATAAGACCAATACTTCAAAATTTCTGAAACACATTCTTCAAAAGTTATATTTAACTACAACACCCATGTTATAGTAACAATGAATACTCGCTTCCCTGGCATTTTGCTCCTAATCATAAATACATTAGCATTCATGTAAAATGAGTTATGAAAGTTTCAGCTTCTTCCTCTCCCATTGTACTGATGAGGAAAGGATGTGTCCTTAATCTTGTAAAAAGTCCCACTTTCCATGATTCATCAAAGAATCTTCTCAATGATGTTTTAAGAGTTAAGGCAAAGGAAAGCCACAGGTATTGTGTTTTAATTTAACTTGCCACTGCTGTGGATACAAGGTCTGGTCATATCCTTCCCAGTAAATACCTGTATTTGCTCAAATCTAATGCACACCTCAATTTTCAAGACTCTGAAACAAAAAGAAACAAAAAAAGGGATCTTCTGGTGAATGTAATGCACACAGGCAAAAAGTGCCCTCTTTGTAATCTGTTCCCATAAGGTGATTCTGTACTCTTAGAATTCCTTCTTTAAAAATAAAAAGTGTTAGATCACCAAATCTTTCAGCAATGGAGAATTACACCTGATAACCCTTTTCTCAAGGAGCCTTGAAAGAAAAGGCAGAGGAAGGGAGAGGGGAAAGAGAAGTGAGGCTTCATGTAACTTATGAGACTTATGTTATTTGGAATGATACTTACGGCAAAGATGACACTCATGTGTTGAACAGTAACACCTTAGTGCTCACAGAAAATAGTAAACCCTATTTCCAAACATCATTTTAATACCAAACAAGATGTGTTCACCTTTGTTAGATGTTTTCAGGCACAATTCTGAGTGTTCATTATGACCTATAAAGTCCTAGGTCCAGGCTATCTGATGGATCATATCCCCCAGTGTTAAAATAACATTATGGCCATAGGGCATTTTATAACATTATGACAATATAACAGCAGAAATAATAATAATAATAATAATAATAATAATAATAATAATAATAATAAAACACAGATATCAGAATAGGAGGTTAGGAGGGCTTTAAATATACTATAAAAGTCATCTTCCCTTATTGAGCACCAGAAATTACTTCTCTGCCAGAGATATCCATGAGGGAAGGACTTGGGAATAGGGAAGAGTCACTTTTCCTTAGCCTCTCAATGGGGGCTATGGAAACAGACTTGGGAAGATGAGGGTTCCTTCTCCTTCACTTATCAGCTGGAAGGCAAGGAGAAGTGCCTCCTGCCACCAAGCCAAGCCTAGTCTGGCTGGGCTGAGGGGCATAGCTTTCCAGCTGGCCTCTTCAAAGCCTGAATGAGGCCAGCTGGGAAGCCGTGGCTCCTCCATCAGTTGGAGGCTGGTGAATCCAGTACCCTGAGATTGACAAAGGGGACCAGGCATGTTTGCCACGATTCCAATGCTCTATCTAATTTAATGTGCACCTGAAGTTTGGCTAAGCTATTAAGCCAAAAAAGATGTGCATTACATTCAAGTAAATACAGTAGTTTCAAATATATGGATTGAAGCCTTTTAATAAAGTGTTGCTATTTATAATTCACATAACTTTGTTTCTCCTAATTTTGGTGCTTTCTCTTCTCTGCTTTTCAGGAAGCATTATCAGTTGTAAGTGAAGACCAGTCTCTGTTTGAGTGTGCTTACGGAACTACCCATCTTGCTAAGACAGAGATGACAGCCTCCTCTTCCAGTGAATATGGGCAAACATCAAAAATGAGTCCACGTGTCCCCCAGCAAGACTGGTTATCACAACCCCCAGCCAGAGTAACCATAAAGATGGAATGCAATCCAAATCAAGTCAATGGTGCCAGGTAAGGTTTCATGGAATGAAATTATCCTAGGATCTGCTTAGGGAAAATACTATATGTGGATAAAGTCCCATGTAATCTATTTTTCAAAACTTCTATGTAGATACATCTTACCTTAGTTTGTTGTTCAGTCCTTTCCGACTATTCACAACCTCACAGACCGGCCCACGCCAGTGCCCCCTATAAGCCGTTGCCACCCCCAGCTCCTTCAAGGTCAAGACAGTCACTTCAAGGATACCATCCATCCATCTTGCCCCTGGTCAGCCTCTCTTCCCTTTTCCTTCCATTTTTCCCAGCATCATTATCTTCTCCAAGCTTTCCTGTTTTCTCATTATGTGGCCAAAGTACTTCATCTTTGCCTCTAATATCCTTCCCTCCAGTGAGCAGTTGGGCATCATTTCCTGGAGTATGGACTGGTTTGATCTTCTTCTGGTCCAAGGCACTCTCAGAATTTTCCTCCAGCACCACAGTTCAAAAGCGTCTATCTTCCTTTGCTTACTTTACTCACACTCTTTGAAAATTAGGTTTCTTCAGCCTTTCTTTATCATCCTCCCAATGCTGAAAAAATCCTCCAGCTGTATAGCGTATAAGAAAGAAAAGAAAGAAAAGAAAGTTAAATTGGTGTAACAAAAATACTTTGTAAAATGGTACTAGTCAGATGCCTGTATGCCTGTATTTAATCTCCCTAGTAACTTGGAAGAAATGATATAAAAGCCTGAAGTCAGACTCTTCCAAATGTCTTGATGTTTTGGCTATATGTGCATCATGTTCTAGATTGCCAAAATGTATCAAAATGTTATTGTTCGTTTGATTTTGTTTATTCTTCCCTTTCTCCACTTTTGCACTCAAGGAAATCTACAAAAATTAAAACTGATACAGATAGAAGCTCACATTACTAAACCATTCAAAACTCAAAATATAATTAAACTATCAAAATTATCAAACTATGAAAGTTACCTTGAGTAGTCCTCAGTTTTCCATAACACTTAGAAATGTGCACTATACATGTGAAGCAGAGCTTGGAAAATTATTTCTAAAAATTAATTAGTTATTGCTAATTGTCATAAAATTTAAATAAATACAAGTGTGATTAAAATATTAGAAGGTCTAATACAAGCTTGTACAACCTGCAGCCTTCCAGGTGTTTTGGACTACAGTTGCCAGAATTCCTGATGATTGAAAAAGTTGGCTAGGGCTTCAGGAATTTTGGAGCTCCAAATACTTGGAGGACCGCAAGTTGGACAGGCCTCATCTAGTAGAATCAATTTGTGGTCTCTTCCAACTCTATGATTCTATGATTCTGTGCTCTTCCTGTTCTGTCCTCAGTACTGTATATTGCTGGCCAAGGTAATCTCAGTCCTCCAGAGCTAAGGATGCATGGCAGGTGGAAGGGATGTAAATGAACTATCTGCTATTCTGTCTGGTAATGGAAGATTTTCCATTCGTGGGAGGAGGGATACCATTTAATGGGTTTATCAACAATGAGTGAAGTCTTAGCTTGTTTAATCCAGTGCTGGAGTTGCCACTGAGATGGAAATTAGATGTTTAGTAATCAAGTAAGTTTTATAAGAATTAAATTTCAGTGATAATCTTGTATGCTTTATATTTCAGTTAATCAGTGTAACAGATAATGCTAAGAAATAATAAATTGACAAAATTCCTAGAAATATGTAGGATTTTGATCTCTGCAAATGAAGTAATGTGTGCTCATGGCCAACATCTTCTGTTTAGACAAGCTCAAATACCATATGAATCCTTACCCACAGAGACAGGCATAAGAGTTCCATAGCTTTTAGTGCACTCTTTATTGCATTAAACCACAAGCAAAATGTGCTTACATGTTCTCAAAATGAATTATAACTTGGGAAATGTAATCCATTGCCATTATAATATGATTTCTATAAAATAATAAAAATAAAACAAGAGAAAACAAGTTAGAAAGTTACAGGCCAACTGGGAGGCTGTTGTGGTTTTGGTCTTGGTACCAGTATATCAGATTACATAATCCTCCCAGCACCAACCGAACTGTAAATTAAGCATATAAGGAACATGGTTGCGTAACTGGTGGTTACTGCTCCCACTCTCTTAGACTTTTCTTCACTCTAACCTCATGCTCAAGAAATATTGAAGTGTCTGCTCTAATGGAGAAAGGATCATGTGTAGTAAAACTTAAACCAGCTGTTTCTCTGCACTGAAAAAAACAAAGAGCAAACCTAGTAATATTTATAGCTTGCATGACCTCAAATGAGCCAGACACTGACTGCCTTAGTTTGCTGTGATGTATTTAAGGCTCAAAGCAGCCAGAATGTACCAGGGAACAAATGAAAATGGGATAAAAGGATTGTATTCACAAAAATTTTATTGTATTACTACATAGTGTAGTCATACAAATGATTCCCAATAAATTTGCATTTCTCTTATTTAAAGTTGTTATTATTATTTACCTGTATCATTTGGCTACCATTCTAATATGTGAAATTTAGCTATCAGTACAATTTTTGACCAAACATCCGTTTACAGGTAGTAATGAACTCCCAAGATGCTTGACCAGCTTTGTATATTTTGCTGACATAGGGCACCTCTATACTGCCACTATAATTCAGTTTGGGGGAAGTGTTTTTTGTTTTTTGTTTTGTTTTTTTTGCATGGTTATTACATTGACAGATGTGGAACTAGTTGAGGCCAGGAAAGTGATTATCTTTATCATTGAACCTGGCCTCAAACCAGCAGGGAAGGTGGGAAGAGAGATGAGCATTCGGTGCTTCAGAGCTATAGGAGATGGGGGGAAAGGGGAGTAGTGACAGAAGTGGAGGTAGTGAATTACCTCTTCCAGGGAGTCCATTAGCTTCCTGCTAGCCAGCCATGCCCTTGAGAAATTTTTCAGCAGTCCCCTGCTTATTTTTCCAAATCCCACAAAGTGCAACAGCAAGGGCAGGTATCTACAATGCAATTTAGACCTGAGATCTGCTGCAGCACTTTAAAGGGCTTAACTTGGACTTTCATGTAACTTTCTTTTGTGTGCTGTATAACTTTTAATCTACACTGCAGCACATATTGGCTGTGTGTGTTTGTGGCTGCTACAATTTTGAGTTGGCTTTGAGACACATGAAATGGTCACTATAAATGAACCCATAGGCCACATATTATGGTTTCACCCCTACCGCAATACTGGATGTAAAGTATCATTCAAATAATACTTAGCTGACACTTTTAGCGCATGTGCAAGCATATCATCTAGTTTAAATATGCTGTGGTTGCAAAACCATTCTATTTCCATTTGATCCTCAAGACCTCCTGGTCCAAACCAGCTTTTACAGTTGAACCAACCACTCACCCCTCTTAGGGTAGCCATTTTTCTTTCATTATAGAGAACAGTTCTCCATTTATTAGCATCCTTTGCTAGAAGGACAATCTAACCCATGTCCAGTTTAAAGATAAACAACAATTACAAATGAGGCAGAAAGTAAAACTAACATATGAATCCCTCTTCTGTCTTGTTCTTTTTAAGAGAGAGAGATGGAAAAAAGAGAATAAAACAGTTGGCATGTATTTTTCAGGTGATGAAGTATGCTTACAGTTACAGAGCACTAAAATAACAGATCACTATAAAGGAAAACATCTCAGGTTTCAGTCAGTCCTGGAATTCTAAATGAATCACAGCCAGACTTCCCTCTCTGCACTGCCCCCAGTTCACTCTAGGGTGCTTTTGCTTTTATTATTGTCTGTCCTTTTGAAATGTGGCAATAAATCAAATTGTCCTTCAATAAGTTCTAACTCTGTAGGAACCTTCCTTGCTGATATTCTGCAAACTAGTGACTTCCTGCATGTTTATCTTTCAACCTCACATTTTGGGTATCAGTAATGCCTATTCTGATTAAGAACCTAGAGCAGGCATCTTCAAACTGTGGCCCTCCAGCTGTTTGGGCCTTCAACTCCCAGAATTCCTGACAATTAAACAAGCTCATTAGGACTTCAGTTTGAGGAGTAGTCATGCAGGATACATGAAAAAGAGTACAGTAATTGCATTCTAGGAGGCTACTACTGCAGTGTTTAGGTTAAATATGCATAAATGATCTGTCTGCAGTCCAGAAGAGTTCTCCCAGGTGGGAAGAAGAGCTTTCATGTGTTAAAACACCATATCTTCATTTGTTTTTTTCTTCAACAGCAACTTTCTCTATGACTTCGAATGTTTCTATGGTTTTAGAAACAATTTGATAGTGTATGTGTAGACATGCATATGTGGAGCACATATGACATTTGCTAAAGTTGACACTTTCATAGTTAATTATAAAAGTACCATCCTAGTTCATACACTTCTGGATTACATTAAGAAATGCAAATGTCTCCATTTCTCTTTTCCCTCTGTTTATATTTAGTTCAGAGACCCACCCAAGCAAAACCAAAAAGTCTGCCAAATTCTGATTGCTATCACACAGCCTGTTAAAGAAAGCACTCAGAAGTGTTTATTGTGTTTTAAACGTACAATTGTTCATAGCAATCTAAAATCTGGTGATGTACTTCATTGTTACCTCAATAATTTTATATTACATTCCAAGGTCCTTTCAAAGAAAATTAATGCTGTAAATCTGATGGAATTTCATTTATAAAAACAACACCTTATTAATTTAGGCCCCACTAAGGTTACTAGCACAATTATGTAGTCCCTGTCTTATTTGGACTGAAGAAGTGAATGGGGACTGCAAAAATGGAAAATACAGTGCTTTGGAGAATTTAAAATAATTTGCTGTAATACCCAATTCTTTTTCAGCATATAAATAATTCCAAAGCTGTAGTGGCAGATTTGAAGGAAGGATCAGAAGACAAATAATTATTGTGTGCTTCACAGCTGACATGAAACACACACACCAACTTCTGTTCTAATTTTAGTAATTTAATCTGAGCAGTCTTCTAGCTCATGAATTTCTAAATTTATCTATCTAATAAAATACTGTTCCCCTAACCTTTAGATTTTTCCACCTTGCCCTACTATACCTAGAATCCGCCTGTCTGTCTTGCTTGCTTTCCACAGCTATTTCCTTTCTTGCCATGGCCATCTGTGCCTTGTTAACCTTGGTTAAGATTGGTTGCAATAAATCCCACCCACAGCTGGCAGGCAAAGCCTACAGTGTGGGTGGGCACTTGAAGGACCCCGTGAAGGAAGCCAGATTTAGTTGGGGTTGGCTGGCTTCACTGGTCCATCATCACATGACAAGGGCAGATCGGCAGGCTATTTAAAGCCAATCCGCACCTCCAATGGTCCTCAGTCATTTGTCTGCGAGAGAGAAGGCAGCAGCATTGGTTGCTACCTCAGGTTTGGTTATTGACAAGGAGATGAGCATTTCTCTCTCTCCTGGCTAATAATTGCTTTAGATCCATTGTCTGATCTGTATTTCACAGTGGGAATTCAAATGGACATCCCTTGAAAACAGTTTGGAAACCAATGATTATGCAGAGTGTAAAACAGAATCCTGGACAGTTCCTCACATTAACATAAAAAATCATTCCATAGAACTAGTGTGATATAGTGCTTAGGCTGTTGGACTAGGATTTGGGAAATCCAGATGTGCACCCCTTACTGGAAATGGAAGGAAAAAGGAAGGAAAAAGGAAGAGGGGCCAACCAAAGGCAAGATGGATGGATGGGATCCTTGAAGTGACTGGGTTGACCTTGAAGGAGCTGGGGGTGGTGATGGGGAGCTCTGGCGTGGGATGGTCTATGAGGTCCCGAAAAGTCGGAATCAACTGAATGAACAACAAATCCCTTACTGAGCAATAACATTCACTTAGGGACAATCTGTGTCAACCTCAGAAGGCTCTTAGGAAGAAGACACCAGTGAACATAACTTTGAACTCATTGGAAGGAAAATAGAATATACATGTATATTAATAATTTTAAATAAAATTAAGGCAGATGTGTCTTCTTTCTGCACTTACTTACCTTTTTCAAAACCCAATTCAAGAAGCTTATTGTTATTTACAAATCTCTAAAGAAAAGAAACTGAACTCAGCATGACTTCTGGAAATTGCTTTTCCCATACCATCTTTCCAACCTCAATACAGGTATTCCCCAAGTTACAAACATCTGACTTACAGATGACTCCTAGTTGAGAACGGAGTTGAGATAACATGAAGTAAGAAAAGTCTACCCCTTAGGTGTCTCCACATAAGCTTTATCACCAATCATTCTTTCCACAACACTTTTTCAAAATCCAGTTATCATAGGAACAAAAGTGAGATGAAATCTTCTGAACAGGGGCACTGACAGCTAAACAAACACTATGGGAGTGTTAAGCTTTCCATATGCTATACATTTTTTTTTGCTGGAGTTACACTTTTAAAAGTATCTGTTGTGACTTACATACAAATTCAGCTTATAGACAAACCTACAGAACCTGTTTGTAACTTGGGGACCTCCTGTATGTTATTGGGTTGGGGGAAATCATAGAATCATAGAATCATTGAGTTGGAAGAGACTTCATGGGCCATCCAGTCCAACCCCCTGCCAAGATGCAGGAAAACTGCATTTGGATGTTTGCCTTGGATCCTGCATTTGTGAAATATTCAGTGTAAGTAAAGCCAGAGTATGACAATTTCCAGATAAACAAATATTCTGCAAATCTTGGTAGAGAGCTGAGTGAGTTAACTCTGGTTGGATGTTTTAACCAGTGTGTTTTCTGATTGTTGAGCATTCTGTGTATTTATCTACTACTAGCAGTTAGGTCTGTTTTAAATGTTATATACTGAATTGTAATATTTTTATTTTGTGTCTTATACATTTATCCATCAATGTAGTAAGATAATGTACAATTTTTAAAAAATTAGAACTTTGTTAGGTCTAACTTATTAGCCTTAACATTCACATTCATTCTCAGTTTCCAAAAACAAACATCGGTTTCTGTGTCTCTCCCCCCCCCCCCAATATGCAGCATTATATGTTGTAACACATTAGTGTGTTATGGATTCTGAATTCACCAGATATAGCCACCAGAAACAGGACTGTATATAACAGATACTAAGATATTGAGAATTATTGAAACAAGCATCATGCAAAAACTCTTCTTGCAGCATGTCTTTTTACTAAAACACACTATAGCTTCTTTCTGTTGTCCATGACACCTGCAATTGTTTCCATAGGAATTCCCCTGATAATTGCAGTGTGGCAAAAGGAGGAAAGATGACTAATAGCACAGAAAATGTTGGAATGAATTATGGAAATTATATGGAAGAAAAGCACATCCCACCACCAAACATGACCACCAATGAACGGAGAGTTATTGTTCCTGCAGGTGAGAAAATATGTGTATTTAAATAAATACTTTGAATGGGATATATCCTCCTGACGGCCCACAACGCATCCAATGTAACATATTGCAAGTCTCATAATTATTTCAGAAGGAGATTTGAGTATGTGATTAACTTTTCTCTTTTCAAATCAGAGAATCAAAAATACTTAATTCTGATTGGCTCATGAAACCATGGTACTCAAGCTAATTGGCTCCATATTTTCTGTTGTCAATTATCAAGTATAAGATACCTCATTGTGTAAAATATTTGGATTTACAAGTAGCCCTTAACCCAGGTCAATGTCTAGACTTCCAGATGTGGTTGAATTGCAGCTAAAATCATTCTTGATCATTAGCTATATGGCCTCAGGCTGAGAGGAGTTTAGCACCCACTGAGATGTGGAAGTTAACAAGTTTTCCACCCCTGCATTAAAGAAATACTTAAAGTCTATTGCCAGAAGAGAGAGACTGTTCTCCCATCTATGCAGTGTCTCTGGGATTTCTACAAGTAAAGATATACATGTTTAAAGTCAATAAAGAAAGCCATTCAAATGGTATCCCACATATAACAATAAATACAGTAAAGTGATAGTGTAAGAAGAGGAGTGGGCAAAACATACCTCAAAGCCTCATCCAGTGTTTAAGGGTGGTTGGTTGGATAGCGGATTGTTGGGCTCTTGCTTTTTTCTGGCTCCCACATATTGATATTTCTCCAGCCAAAAAAGAGAGATTGACTCTCCTGGAAGGTTCTGTGGGACACAATTCACCTTTGAAATACATAGATTACCAGGGCCTCTTGTACTTTTTAGTATCAAAATATATGATAGGCATTCTATTCTGTAGTTATGATGTTGTAAACCTGAATTCTATGAATTCCCTTTTATGATTGTTTCACCATTTCAAGGAATGAAACTGCATGGAAAACCTATATTTGAGCAGTGAATCCCCCAACAGAAGAATTTCTGGGATGCAAGTGTCCTTTACATTGCTTGTGACATCATACTTTTGTTACTAGAAAAAGACTGGGTGCATTCTTTCTTTCCGCTACCTCAGAACTAATATTTTAGCATTTAGTTTTTGGAAGGTGCCATTAAAAGATATAGCTACATGTAGTAATGCAGGCTTTCAGGCATATGAAGGTTTTTCCCCAAAAAACTAGAAGTAAACTTCCAGTCGCATCCAGTTCACAGTGTTTTGGGGGATAAATGTGAGGTTTGGCCTCTGGATCCACTATAGCTGTATATCTCAGGTTAGAAAGAAAAACTTAACCCAATGAATAAGGTCTTGAATATATATATATATATATATATATATATATATATATGGGGCTAAATGTCGATTGGAATTTTCAGAGACAGTAAAAAACAATGTTGCAATTCACAAACTGTGAAATTAATATAGCAATTCTCGGTGGTGGCCCCTCAGCTGTGGAACACTCTTCCCGTGGACATCAGGCTAGCCCCCTCCCTGTTGATATTCCRCAGGAAGTTAAAGACCTGGCTGTTTAAGAAGGCATTTGATCAAGAAGTGCAATGACYGGTAATTTGACCATAGGAAYGGAACAACGGAAATGATWTTGGATTGTGGGTTTGACGATGAGACGACTCGGAATGGATTTTGTAGTAATGTTGATGTTGATGTTTTGATAAGATGTTTTTCTGATAATGATGAATTGTGGATTATTTTACACTRTGTTTTGTAATTTGCACTTGTTTTCCATGTTGTACACCGCAATGAGTCGCCCTTGGGCTGAGAATTGCGGTCTATAAGCGCAGTAAATAAATAAATAAATAAATAAATAAATAAATTACATTTTTTTAAAGAAAAGTTAGACCCATCTGTCCAACTCCTGCTATTAACTTATTTTGCTATTTCTTCAACACTTTTACTTGGGAATAATTTCCATTGAACTCCATCGGACTTACTTCTGCCTAGACCTCCACTGGATTGCACTGTCATCTCTTATTGTGTCCTTCCCATCCTCCTTCAAACATAAAAATGTAATGGGGTGACTTTTAAGCATTTGTGCCTGTTATACAAGAAAACATTTGCGTTTCTGCGAGCTGAATTGAGCAATTTATTTTCAAAATAAATTAGTTCAAAATGCTTGTCATTTGCACGCAGTGCTGTTGAACATTTCAGTACCTGGTTAGCTTTTTAAAAAACCTGCAATCATAGCTCATTAACATCTCTGAAGGGCTTTTTTTAAAAAAACCACACTTTCATCCCACCCTTTTCAGGCTGAAGGCGACTTAGGGCAGCGTACAAACTGGCAACAATTAGATCTCAAACACACATAAATACATCATTTAAAACAGGTTAGATCACATAATAAAATTCACACTAAAACAGTTTAAAACTATAAAAATCAATGACTTCTGAGTTAAAATCTATGTCCATTTGCATCGTTAAGCTGTTCCATATTTGTTTACAATACTGAGTTGTTCTAGTTACAATGAGGTTCCAAAAGCTTGCTCGAAGAGCCAGGTTTTCACTCTTTTCCTAAAAGTCAGGAGGGAGGGGACTGATCTAATATCCCCAGGCAGGGAGTTCCACAATTGAGGGGCCACGACTGAGGGGCCACCCTGTCTCTCATCCCCGCAAAATGCATCTGTGAGTCAGGGCCTCCCCAGATGATCTTACATTCCTGGAAGGTTCATAAGAGGAGACATGTTTGGATAGGTAAGTTGGGCCAGAACAGTTTAGGGCTTTATAGGCTAAAGCCAGCACTTTGAATTGTGCCCAGTAGCAAATTGGAAGCCAGTGGAGCTGGCACAACAGCGGAGTCGTGTGCTCCCTGAGCACTGCTCCCATTAGTAGCCTGGCTGACACCTGCTGGACCATTTGAAGCTTGAAATAAGTTAGAATGAGAGCACAGTTTAAGATTGAGGGGATTTCTAGTTTGTCAAGAAAGTACCCACAATCAAAGCGCCTCACATACACCTTTCTCTGCATAGAACTATATTTGTATAAAAGATGACAAGGACCTATTAGAGAATGCCTGCTTCCATCAGAAGAAATGGAACGGGCTCAATCCTCTCCGTGCAACACCTATGCTTCCTAGAAACCTACTTTGAAGGTTTTTGACATGACAGAGGGATGCAAAAGAGAAGGAGGCGCATCAGAATCCAATAGATGAGTACCACTGAATCCTAAACTATATTTAAGAGACCCACATACTTACCTGGAAAGAGGTTATCATGAAAAGGTATATGATAATCCAGGGTACATATTGGTTAATGTGTTGAGTAAGAAAGAAGAATTACAGTAGTAATCTCCCAACATTTCTTGCACAAAAATTGCTTTCCTACTTATTATATATTGATGCTCTGCCTTGCTATTGCATATTAAATTGAATTATATTCTGAGAGTGGGTACACTGGTAGCCACTTATATGATCTTAAGTTTTAATGGAAGAAAAGAGTTTACCTTTACTCACAGCACAGCAAAATGAATTAAATTGAAATTTTTTTCTGCTGCTATGTTGCTTAATATTCTTACAGTTATACAGTAGCAAAAAACTGCAAGAACATTAGCTGTGGCTAAAACTGCAAGCTGTATTTCTGTCAGTTATTTGTCAAACTATATGCTTCTTGCATAATCTTCTACACATTCACATAGTATTTTGCTTTCTGGAGCTGCCACAGATTGATTCAGTTAATGGTAAAATATTCAGAAGCAGCCCATAATATCATACAATCGCCTTCTAAAACAATTTTGGTTTTTTTAAAAAAGCAAAATCAAACCCTGGACATTGATACATATCCCAGTCTTTGAACTGCAAGCGATCACAAATGGTTTCCTCTCCTCCACATGTATCTTAAGAAATATATTTGGAAAGGAATGCAAATGTACTTCAAGGAGCAAGAGGGCTGTAGGCATACGCAGCTGTTTGCTGAGCAGCACAATAAATATTTGGGTAATGCTCTACTGTCTGGCTGCCAGATGTTTTCATTTATATGCAGCCATTTCAGTTTGCAAATGATGTGGCAAAACAAAAGCAAACACATGTGCACATACACACTCCTTCTCTCCTATACATAATTTCACAGTTAGCTGTGAAGCACTAGCCTTGCTAACTCACTAGAGAGGACTTTGTTGTATTAAAATTTTCTCACTCCAGTTATATTCCGTGTGTGCCATCTCAATTTCTTATACACATACAGAAAGAATATGAATATCAGATCCTCAGCTGTTCTACTGTATTACTTGCAGGTGTAAATTCAACACTAGAGAGGTGAATGAGACAGTAGACATATTCACTGTGACTAACCTGTTTCCCTCCTGCAGTGTAATTTATTCCAAAACACCTGCCTAAACACATTAGATACAAGATATATAGGTGAGAAATATCATGAACTACGACAAGTAGATGTTTTTCACCAATTGAGAGAGCACTCTTGTAAAAATGTGTGAAGCATGCTGTCTAGATTTAGTAGGGAATAAATCAGTTGGATGTTGTGAGGCTTATTTTGGAGTAAATATGCACAGAATCATGTGGTTAGAAAACAGCTGAGCAGAATGGAGTTCATCTTCATATGTTACAATTGAAAACTAGTTCTGTGGAAGATAACAAATATTTATTCTAATAATTTCAAATTCCTTGTCAGCCTAAATGCTGGATCATAAAGAAATAAAGCAGCATATTATTTCAAAATTATTACCACATTGCTATACATCAAAGCAGACCATGGTATGAATATGGAAGGTGGTTAGGTATTGTCGAAGGCTTTCATGGCCTGAATCACTGGGTTGTTGTAGGTTTTTTGGGCTGTATGGTCATGTTCTAGAAGCATTCCTTCCTGACATTTCGCCTGCATCTATAGCAGGCATCCTCAGAGGAGAGAATGCTTCTAGAACATGGCCATACAGCCCGAAAAACCTACAACTATCCTTAAGGTCTTTATTCTTAAAATGGCAGGATGAGGCACACTACTATCTGCTTAGACTATGAACCATGAGTGTTTCACATGGACAACTGCAGCCTTCAAAAGCCTAAAGTACAGATGACCAAAAAGTTTCTCTTAGCACAATGCTAAAAAATAGCTAGATTAATGGTTAGGTATGATAAGCAGAGCATCTTAGGTGCAAACTCCAGTATATATTACATATTGACATTAATTGATCTACTACCTAAGTATGCCCTGACTAAACCACTGAGGACAGGATATAGGAAAGTTGTGTATTCATTCAATGCAGTTGTCGTCTCGTATTATTCAAGATACATACTAATAGTTACATTTCAGCAGTTACAATTCCAGTTGAACTGAGTGCCTTTTAGTTGTTATTTGGTTGTTTCCTTTTAATGGAATAGATAGCACTTTTGAAATAAATTCACTGAATCGGGATAATTAAATTATTCAGTATCACCGTAGCACATTTGCATTGGGAACAAACCCAGACAATATGTTTTGTAGTAATGCTAATAATCCATAACATAACACAGTGAAACTTACTGTCTTTTAAAACAGATCCCACACTATGGAGCACAGACCATGTCCGCCAGTGGTTGGAGTGGGCTGTCAAGGAATATGGTCTCCCAGATGTGGATATCTTGTTGTTTCAGAACATTGATGGGAAAGAATTGTGTAAGATGACCAAAGATGACTTCCAAAGGCTCACACCAAGCTATAACGCTGACATTCTCCTCTCACACCTACACTACCTCAGAGAGAGTAAGTACTTTTCATGAATTTATAAATATTTAAATGATTGTCCACTGGATTTTCTACTGTAACGCTTATTACAGTTTTTCAATACTGTTTGCATGTTCTTTATTTACATTGCAAATTAAGAAAATATTAACTATTTTATTGATTGCAAAACCCAACATGAGTTGTACGTCATCCACATAATTTTTAGTAGTAATGTTTTTTCTGGTCACACATTTTTTCTACTTTCCTTGATTGACATGCTAATTGTAAACAAAAACATGGACATATTTATTTGTAATGAAATTCCAGGCATGATTAAATCTATGTGTTCTGCACTGCACAAAAGAGCACTTTTTCAGACTCCCATTAAAATGGAAGTTACATGGTTAAGGGTAAATTATAAGGAACCCCCCCCCCAATGAAAATAAAACAAATATCTTAAGCCATTCCCACAGGCAGGAGAGGAAGGGGTGAATTGGTTAACTGAAACATAGGGAAACATAACAGAGGTCATCATAATAAAATCTGAATGAACAAAACCTGTTTTTTAAAAAAGCATGCAGTGCAACACCAACATGACATTGCCATTTTCATAGGCTTACTAATCACCAGGCTATGTCGGTATGTTGAATTCAGTGAATGCCCAGCTTCCAGGAGTATCATAAACTCAAATCCTCAAAGAGAAGAATGAAATTATGTTAGACTCACCAAAACCAATTCTATTAGAATAAAAGAAAGTGGTTATTAAGATACTTCTGAATATCATTTTTTAAAAATTTGGTGTTGCTTTTTGTTTTGTAGCTCCTCTTCCACATTTGACTTCAGATGATGTTGATAAGGCCTTACAAAACTCTCCACGGTTAATGCATGCTAGAAATACAGGTAATGCTGCCACTGCTCCCCCTTCCTATAGGCCATATTTTTAAAGTTCAGGGTTTCTATTTAACCAATCCATTCCAACAGTAAATTTAGAAGGAAAGCAAGGCTTAAGGGTGTAATATGGGGTCTAGAGTTGATGCGACTTTCTCTCACAGATGCTACAAACACATACATTACATAAATCTGCAAAATAGTAATGGGCAAATGTGCAATTAAGTCCATGCCAAAGTCCTTCAAAAAGAATATTGGCCCCTCGGGGAGAGAATATTCAGTGTCCATGTTTTCTGCATGTGCATGAATCCCAGTTTTAAAAAGTGACTTTTTGAACTACAACTCCCAGAATCCTCCAACCAGCATGGATACTGGAAATTCTGGCTAAGGGATTGTGAAAACTGTAGTCCAAAAACCAACTTTTTCCAGGTCCAGCATGAACACAAACACCATTTTTCTTCTCATTTTTCCTGCAATCCTACAAGTGAATCAAAATAAAAGAGAAAACCAGAGGCATGCAACTTTTTCTGGGCTCTAGCAGTTCCAGTAGAAAATTTTATATTAGCATATAATTCCATATTGGGGAAAAAATCCTGATCCATATCAAAGTAGTAAGTGAAAGAAGTGTAGTCTTACTTCTGATGTTCTGATTTTCAATGTGAAACTTATTTAGTAGTTTGTTTGCTCAATGAGGGACACTAGTCCTCAGATACAGCATTGAAAGGGGTCCTTTGAAGAACTATGGTGAATTTACTAGCTTAGTTTTTGTCCAAATAGAACTTTATGCAAGTGTAGTGATCTGGTTAAATATCTTCAGTTCGTGGATATATAGACTTATGGGTTTCTTATTCCAAATGCAGTTCCAAATGTCTAGAACCAGCAGCAGCAGGCCCGTAGCCAGGATTTTGTTTCTGGGGGGGGGGGCTGAATTTTTTTCAGGGGGGGTTTCGGGGGGGGCTGAGTTTCGGGGGGGCTGAGTCTGAGTGAAAGAGGGTCTAGCCTAGCAAACCTTTTGTATCATTACCCCAATACCCCCATGCATATGGGATATATTGAGTATGGTGATCAGATCATGATATGAATAACCACATATGCAAAACCACATATATATGCAAACACACATATACACAAATATATGCACACACATATATATACACACAAAACACATATATACAGACTGGGCCACAGCAACGCATGACAGGGGATGGCCAGTATGAAATAAAAATATTTGCCATCATGTGAAAGTACTGGACTTGACCTCAGATTTAGGCAAACTTTCTTATATTTCCGAGGATACTATAGAGGGGACTGTCTTACTTACTCTTCTACCTCCACCCCTTTTCTAGTATGATGTTTATATCATTGTGAAAATGTTAATATATTGCAGTGGGAACAGGGAACAAGACTCACAAAAGGAACTCCAGTGAATTGCTTTCTTTGGGTACATTCACTCAAGCAACTGATATATCAAGAGAAAATGACATTTTCAGCTAAAAAAGAAGTTCAGTAATTCTGAGATTCTTACCAAAATTACTCAAAGAGCATCTTGTTTCTCAAATGTGCATATTTGTGAAAGTTGTGTATTTTATGTGTCTACAATCATATATCTCTTTTAATATTGAGAGCCCTTAAGCATGCTTCCATTATATAGAGAGTGGGGGAGGGGGGAGAGAGAAATGTGTACAAAATGAACAATTAGAAATAGCATAAGGATATGGAAAGTATGTGGAAAATTCATAAGGGTTTCCATGTAGGAAGAAAAAACAAGTCTCATAACACATAGTGCAAATAAAGTGTAACATGAGAATGCAGGTGAAATTACAGAAAATGTATGAAAATTAAGACTGAGGCCCCTTCTACACTGCCATATAATCCAGATTATTAAATCAGATGATCCACATTATCTGCTTTGAACTGGATTATATGAGTCTACACTGCCAGATTTTATATTGCAGTGTAGAAGTGTCCTGAGAGATTTTTACCTCCTTATCCTCAGCCCACGTTCTCTAGAGAAAATGAAAATTTACATAGTCCCCTCAGCAGGATGCATCATATTTTTTTTGCAATTTTCAAGAGATTGAAATAATACTTTTAAATGCTCAGAACATTATTGTAAAAAATACAAATAGTCTTTCCTAGGCTTGTGCAATTAGGCTGGAGGGCGATCCATTTTTGGTATCTGAATTTTGTTGGGTATCCAGGTCCATTTCGGGAGCCTCCCAAAAATCAGCTAATGGAAAAATCTGTTTTTGACTAGGCAGCTGAAATTTCCAGGAAGATTAGGCCCATTGGCAGGAACGTGGTCCATTTTGGGCAAAAAAACACATTACAGCTGAGCCCTTAAGTGTTATAGCAAGCCAAACAAGCCATATTGGCCAAAGGGAGCCAACCAAACCAAAACCATGCAAAAACCTAGTCTTTACCAGACTGCACAGTTTTGCAGTGGGAAGAAAAATTCTAAAATTATTGTTGCTTCCTTCAAAAACAAAAGTAGGGAGGAATTCCCTCCCTATATGTTAGCTCTGGGGATAAATACATCCTTCTCTTTATAAGTCCTTGAAGGTACAAGGAAGAAACAGAAGTGCTTCCCATTTCTTTCTCTCATCACATCCAAATCTCCTACATGGATATATAGTCAGTTTTGAGTTAGTCACAATACAACTTTCATAAAAGATTATCCTGCCCAGTTCCTGAGACCATGAAATGATTAAATACACAAGAACTCCTCAGATCAGGTCACAAATACACATATATGTAAAGCAAGACAATAAGACATTTTATTGGATCTCAGGAATTCAAATTTGGCTTATAGGTAAGGAAACTAAAAATGAAGCTCTTTTTAAAGTTGTGCATCAGAAACCAACAACAATATTTGAAAGTAATATCTTCAATCGGATGAACTAAAAGCATGGGTTATTTCATTCACATTATCATGTCTGAGGGTTTTAATGACTTATAGTGACCAGAAATAACAGTATATTAAAAGCAGAAAGGTTATTCTTATCTCTTGGTGCTAGAATGTTTCCCAGCCCAGCCCATGGTGAATCATAGCAGTAACCAGATCTGTACATAGTGGTTCAAGTAATTGTTATAAGATATGCCTGGCAGACCTCTTTTAGACAAGTTACATTCACAAAGATAAAGGAGAGCAAATATGGAATAATATATTGACATGTTAGTACAGCTTTTTCCAATTGGTAAAATGCAGGGATATATGTTCTGACACACTTGGTTTTCTACCAGTGTATTATCCTGGAATGGAAATAGTTTCTTGTGAACATCTGGTGCTCTGTAATCCACTATCCATACACTTGTTCATAAGCTTCATTCCAAGAGATACAGCAATTGCAAAATTATCCTTATTTCTTTTGTCGTCTTCAGGAGGTGCAGCTTTTATGTTCCCAAATACTTCAGTATATCCTGAAGCAACACAAAGAATTACTACCAGGCCAGGTATGCAGGATGCATGTTCAGATTTTTGAAAGTTCTGCAATCTAGGTTTCTAAAATTTTTATCCTGCTGACTGCTGAAAATCAGAAAACCACTCCTAGAGAAACAAATAGCATTCTTTTGAAGTAGAAATGAAGGGTTGTGCATGAAAAATCTTTGTCCATCCCTGGCAATTCCTTATTCTCATTCACAACTATAAATGAGATATGCCTGTACCTGAATAAGAATGAAGATAAGAAGAATCCAAGTTAGGCAGACAGAGCATAGAAGTTATACAACAATGATTATAACTACAGGAGGAGATTGTTTATATATAATGGTAGTGGGGTAAATTGTTGCAGAAATTTGAAATTAGATTTGATGGACTTCAGCTATCAAATATGATGGATGTTTACAATCTTGAGCACTATTCCCTTCAGGAACCATACTGTGTGAAGAGATTTCAGATTTACTTGTTTTTTCTCCTTTTGGCTGTAGCTATTTGAGATAATTTCTTTTCAACACAGATATTCCTTATGAACCAGCCAGGAGGTCAGCCTGGACAAGCCACAGTCACCAAGCTCCCCACTCAAAAGGTACAGGTAGGGTTTGTTGTTCCTGTTGTTTTCTGTCCCAAGAATGAAAACACACTAAAAATAGTATGAAGTATACAAAATTTAGTTTACAGAGTTCTGCTCTGTAAACTAAATTTTAGACCCAAAGCAACTCATTTAAGACCCTGATTCCAGTGTGCCTTCCCTGAATAAAGGAATCAGGGCCCTGATCTGACCAATTTTCTGCTATATGTCCTCTGAAGCCCTTTATCTGCCCATTAGAATGATCTTCCTACATTACTCTCTCTACATGTCTAGACATACCCTACTCTGTGCACACTCAGTGTTTTAAAATTTTAATCTTTTACATGTGGCCCTGCCATAGTGTTTTAAATCTCTTGTGTGTTATTGCTTATATGTCAGTTATATTATTTATATTGTTTTATTTGCTTGCTTGCTTTGTTGTTATACTGATGTATTTGTTGGGCTTGGCCTCACATAAGCCGCCCCGAGTCCCCTTGGGGAGATGGTGGTGGGGTATAAGATTATTATTATTATTATTAATAATTATTAATTATTATTAAGATTTTAGTTCCTAGCTTGCGTGTCACTATGAGATTGTCTTAATCAGATGCCTATCAGTTATTTTGAATCTCCTCCAACACAGGTTTAGAATAATAAGAATGATAATGATAATGAAAATGATAATGATAATGATAACAATAACAACTTTTTTCATGTATCCCACCACCATCTCCCCAAAGGGACTCAGGGTGGCTTACACATGGCACAAAGTGCCTAAAAATAGAACATAAAAGGAAAACAATTTAATATACAATTAAATAAAACACATAGACATATAAAACAACAATTAACACTCAATGAAAAACAGCGCTCATCAACCAATGGCAGTAAGCTACTATACATGTGGCCAGGCAGTAAAGAATCAAACTGGAAATAGGATAAGTGCAAAGCTGTAGCCATGAGAAGAGAGGATGGGATAAAGTGCAAAGCTGCATAACAATTGCATAGATAACTAGGGACTAGGGGACAAAATGAGGTGAGGCTTTTCTTATATGCCTGTCTAAGGAATACTGTTCTCAAGGAGGCCTGCCTGCCTGCCCCCAGCATTATCATATTTTAGTGTAAGGTTAAGACATTTGTATTCTTCCAAACATTTGATGGAAATTTGTTGGTTACATTTAAAATACCAACATTAAACCTTAGCTCTATGAATTTGGTGGGGTGGGGAGAGTGTCTGTAATATGCTATATTTATTCTACAAGATGTTGTGAAATTTATTTACCAAAAAAGACAAGGAAGGTTAGTCTTCCCAGCTTCCCTTCCCTTCCTCTTAATGAAGTCCATAGTATACTATGTGACTATGATCAATAATTATCTCCTTCAACTTGTAGATACTTGCTCTTCTTGAAGCAAAGTATCAATAAATTATTATTTATTAATACTTATTAATGCTTGTCACTACGAAGTCCAACATAATGAAATGCAATCAAATTAAGCATTTTGCGATTTTAATAGCCATAGTAGATTATTTCAAAATGGAAACACGAGTGCATGTTTCTTTTCTAGCTGCTCAAGCATCATCTTCAACAGTACCCAAAACAGAAGACCAACGTCCTCAGTTAGGTAAGTATATAACTCATGCAGTTAGGATGGTGAAGTCTTCATCTTTGAAGATCTTTAAACAGAGGCTGAATGAGCATCTTTCAGTTGTGTATTCTTACATAGTGATCTCTTCCAGCCCTGAGATTCCATGAATGTTTTATGTGAACACTAATAGAAATCACTTACGAGTCTTGTGACTATTTAACAGATTTGAGCAGTTATTCATTGACCAGGGCCTACATCAAATGTACAGACAATCCAATCTGCAAAGGTTAAACCTGCAAATGTGGAGGATCGGTTGTATAAGGACTTCTTCACATTCAGTCACCCAACGCGACTGAATGTGATGGGATTCTCCAGGTAGAGTGGGGAATCAAGCTGGCAGTGGGAGAATCCGTTGCCCTGCATCACCCCCAACAACACTACCCCATCACATGTGGGAAAGTGTTGCTGTCCAACTTCCCCCCATGCTTGTCCCATTGTAGGCAATGAGAACATGGGAGGTTTCCTGTGTTCTCGTTGCAGTCTTTTACGAAGCTTTCATCACAGTTCAGGGACAAAGCACTGTCAGAAGTAGATGTACATCATTTAATGGGATCCAGAAGGCTCCGTCCCTGAATTGTGGTGAAAATATTGTATGACAAGTATATTCACCCATGTGATGAGGTCATTTGGTTCTTGGTTAATTTTTAAGAGACTGAATTTTTAATAACATTTTAACATAAATCTATGCTGTATATAGGATGTAGTCTTCAGTGAATAGACAACCTGACTTGAACTGATCATTTCATTGTATGTCCTTCATTCCCCAACTTTGCCTATTTCTCTCATCTACCCAAGCTTTCATGTTATATTATAATATAATAATGAGCTAAGGTTACACTATTGCACCACTGAAAATTCAGTATGCTCCTATAATCTAGACTTCACTGTCACCAGAAATTTAGTGTCAATTCGGTCTTCAACTAGCCAGCATAACTGTACATTGACACTGCAGTATAACTATCCTTTAATCAAGGATATTGTGTTGTATGTATTTCTGTCTAAGGTGACTTATTACTGCAATATATACCATGCTAAAGCTCATTTCTGATGATGTCTGATTAAAAATATCAGTGTCATAAATAATAATTTGTGTTATTTCTTTCCTTATCTAGATCCCTACCAAATTCTGGGCCCTACCAGCAGCCGTCTTGCTAATCCAGGTATTAAGAAAAAAACACTACTTAGGATTTTTATCTAGACAATGTATACTTACTGCTATCTTAAAATTATAGTGAAGTTGATGTTTTTGTATTCTATTAAGATCAGAGACAGCTGTGCTGATGAGAAGGACATTGAGTTGAATTTAACAAGTAGGGACAAGATATGTCAATTTTAATCAAGATGTTTCAAAATATGCTCATGGGAAAGAGAAGTAATTCTTTAAGTTATGCTCTCTGTGATAAAGAGTATGTGTCTGCTGTTTCTAGCATTCCGGATCAAGGAATAAAGACACCAGTGGTTAAAGAAACAAATTAAGGATTAATTGTAAGAACCCTGCTAAAGAAAGCTCTCTAAAAATAATAAGATAACACAATGAACGATGCTAATATTTTAGCTGAAGTACGGAAATAAGAGTGAGAGAAGAGTAAAGCTAGAAAGTTCCTTGAGAATATTTGTTTACCGTTCAAATAGGTTGGGATTATTGGATAAAAGGGGAGGAGACTCTGAATCCTGAAAACTATTTTAGGTTATTGTTGCTGCTCTAATACATATTTAATTCATTATGCGCTGTTGCATTTAATGTATAGGATAGGACAATATGGAGAACGTCTATAGGCAATCGACAGAGGTCCTATCAAGTGGCCCAATAATGTTCCAGTTCACAACATAATCCCTAGTTGTGTTAAGAGGGAGAAAGGCACAAAGGTGTCCTCCTTCCTTTTTAGAAATATAAAATCCAACTCTAATCCTGTGGGAAGCACCAGGCTCCTTTATGGAACAGATGTCTGAACATAATTTTGGGTGGCAGACTAGATTTTTGTAAAACTTGTAGAAGTCAAATGAGTAACCACAGGGTTTGATGGCTTCTGCTTGAGAAAAGCAAATGCTGCCATGTTGAGATTGTGGTTCCTTAAACCTATACTAGATAGCTTGTTTACTTAAAACTAACAGTGCAATCCCATATGTATAGTTTCAGAAGCAAGCCGTACTGGGTTCAGTAGAATTTATTCCTTGTAAAAGTAGATAGAATTACTGCCAAAAAGATTAAAGCTCTAAAATGTTCTCGCTAAGAATTCTTGTCAAGGTATATGTCCCATTGAGCTATGCAGACATTTTTCCATATCATGTATAAACAAGTCTATATATTCTTAAACCATAGATTAGCCTCTAAGCCACTATTTTATCAATAAAGCTAGGCATTTTTAAAACAAGCTAAAAATATTTTTTTATCCTTCATGAGAGCTTTCTTGTAATGATATATTTTTCTGTTTAATTCTAAATGCAATAACCGGAAATATTTTTGTTTACATGAATTATATGACCACATTAGTTAGCATTTATAATAGTTAAGTTTATTCGTCTATCACTGTTTATGTCAGAACCCAGAAGCCTTTAAACACGCCAGACACAAATCAAAGGTTCAAACACAGCTTTATTGTAAACAAAAGGTCTTGAAAAGCACTTAACTGCAGTGCTAAAGTCTACTGGAGCAATTTGGCACCAAAAACAAGTCAATAGGAGAAACTAAAATATAATCCGGATTATAGCGCTGGCTCTTAAACTAAAGATGAAGCAAATTGCTTAAAAATCAAAATGTAGCAAGAACACAGTCTATAAAGTTGAGAGAACGTTGTTTCAAAACTAAAAGTTGTTAAAGTCACAAAGATATTAGGAAACAAAGTCCAGAAGTCCAAAAGCGAAGTCAAACCAGTCCGTAGTCAATTCCGTAGAGAAGCAAAGCTGGAACGTTGAAGTCACTCAGGAAACAGGAGCACAGGAACACATGAAGCTATAGCCCAGGACCCAAGGTGGAAAGTTGGCAGATACAAAGACTTATGTCCCCAAGAAGACACTTTGCCTTCTGCAACTTGCAATTCAAACTGAACCCCCTTATATCTTACAATTCGTCGTCGGAGCTTGATGAGCTCCCCACCCTCTCATCATCACTCCCAGCTGCTCCCAAGCCTGCAGCTGAATGCCCATCCCTCCACCTCTGCCAATGAGTATCAGGATTCAGATCCTGCCAAGAGTCCCCTGACTGCCAGTCTTCAGTGAACCCCTCAAATTCCTCACTAGAGGTGGGCTGGTTACAGATATCCCTTATGTTTTGCACACGGGTCCAATTTAACTCCTCGTCATCTTCCATGTCACTCCCATTCCCAGAACTCCTTTCAAACCCAAAGAAATCTTCATCCTCTGTTGGTGCACAAAGTATTTCCCGAATATGCTTCCTTTGTAATTCCCCTTCAGCCCTCTTTACACCTCTGCTCCCTTCCCCATCCCCCATTTCCCAATCAGAGAAACTTGGGAACGTGTCAGTATCGCTTGGAGCCATAATGATTTCTCTAATGTGCTGACGCTGCTGTTCCCCTTCTGACTCTAAAGGAGACCCATTTTCCCTGCTACTAGGAGTAGCAACTTGAGCAACACGCTGAACTACAACAGTTTAATTGTTGGCAAATTTTTAGTGTAATATAGGATGCATCATTCTATCTACACTATAGAAATAATGCATTTTGACATCACTTTAAATTCTCATGATTAAATATTATGGAATCATGGGAGTTGTAGTTTTACAAGATTTTTAGCCTTCTCTGCCAAAGAGTGCTGGTGCATCATCAAACTATAAATTCCAGGGGCGCGTATGTTGTTTTATGATGTGTGCTGGGGAAAGCATTTTAATTCTTGGTACAATAATACAATGGCAATAAAGCTATTCTTTTCTATGCCATAGCATTGCATCATGGCAGTTAAAGTGCTGCTGGACTACATCATTTCCACAGTGTAGATGCAGTGTAGAATTCTGGTTTCCACTGCTATAGACAGCAAAGCTCTGTGTGGATACTCTTTGGAAATGACACATATTATGTCAGCTGCTACTGTTTTATTCTCTTATTTTACATCTATTCATATAAACTTATTGAATTGGCAATAACACATTATTAGAAAGTCTAAATTCAGAAACAATTCTATAGTGTTTCACTGGAAGAAAAGACTTTCTAAAAATTATTTTCAAATATCAGACAATCAAGTAAAAACTAATGGCTTCTTCATTACTTGACTCTAAATATTGAGCATGGGTCATATTCATTTTCTGGGCTTTATATACGTAGTTTCGGTCTGGTGCACTGAAATGTATAGTTCCAAAATAACATTGTAAGATCGAGATTCCAAAACTACATTGGAAATATATGTCATGAAATCGACCCAATTCTACCAATTAGCTACCAAAATGTTACTGTCAGATATTTGACTCAAAAATGTTTATATTCACAATGTCTTTAGTGGACAGAAGGGAGGCAAATATGGGAGCAGTGAGGGGGGGTCCATGGAGGTTGAATGAAGACTGTGTGTCCTTCAAACTGTAGCTTGCCAAGAAAAACAGTCCCTCAAATATTTCCTAACAGGATTGTATTGAAAATGCGTGTCTAAATGTTTTTACTTACTATTTTCTCATCTGTTTTGTTGTTTTTCTGCAGGGAGTGGGCAGATACAGCTATGGCAGTTCTTGTTGGAACTCCTGTCAGATAGCACCAATTCCAATTGTATCACCTGGGAGGGCACCAATGGGGAGTTCAAGATGACTGACCCTGATGAAGTAGCCCGGCGCTGGGGAGAAAGGAAGAGTAAACCCAACATGAACTATGACAAACTCAGCCGTGCTCTCCGTTACTACTATGACAAAAATATAATGACTAAAGTCCATGGTAAGCGTTATGCCTACAAGTTTGACTTCCATGGAATTGCTCAAGCCCTCCAGCCACATCCTCCAGAATCATCTATGTACAAATATCCATCAGATCTGCCCTACATGAGTTCCTACCATGCACACCCTCAGAAAATGAACTTTGTGACTCCCCATCCACCTGCTTTGCCAGTCACTTCCTCCAACTTTTTTGCTGGACCCACTCCATACTGGAATTCACCAACTGGAAGTATCTACCCTAACACTAGACTTCCTGCCACCCATATGCCTTCTCACCTTGGCACTTACTACTAAAACAAGATTATTTTTAAAGAACCTTTCTTCGTAGAATACAATGAATTATAATGACATTTTATTTGAAAACTTTTAAAAGTGCCTAAAAGACATGCCAAAGTTGACCAGGACCAAAAAATGTCATATAAAATGTTTGTTTTTTTTAAAAAAAGGATAAGAGCAGAATGTTAAAGAAGTTTAACAATGCTACTATGTAAACTGTGTTGACTTCACATCTACAGACCAAACAATGAAATACTCTTTCTGGGTTTTTTTAAAAAGGTAATGATTTTGTAAAAAGGGTCAGTAAGGGTTTATAAGCTTTTAAGTCATGTTGGTATGCTAGTGAAAATTGGGACTATACAACAGTGATATAAGGATAATTATATTTTGAACTTGGATACAGTACATGACTATATGAATGCATAAAAATACTACCTGCAGTTTTAATCAAACATAGAGAACAGTGTCATAAATATTTGTCTAGAGCAAGACCTGATTTTGAGTATAATGGTTTTAGTTGGGATGAGCTTCAATGCATTCCATAATCAAGAGGTATCATCTAATTCAAACTGTGAAGACAATGCAAGCTAGGATTTCTTGACAGTGTTAAAGAGCTCTGAGCCAAATATTGGGACTGAGAATGTGCTAAACGGCAAGAGTATGATTGTAGACTAAGGGCCCCATATATCAGGAGGTTCCCTATGCAAGCCCTATTGAAATGAATGGGAACTGCACAAGAGCACTAATGTAACCCTGTGTCTGATACATGAGGTGGAAAGAAGTCAGAGGACAAGAAGGACAATCATGAATGAAGGAGAAGACATTTCCTGTAAAGAAGTGGGAAACCAAAACTGGACAGTGTTTGAACTATGAAGAATTACTTGTTTGAACTTGAGAAATATTGTGTTGAGTATTATGCCATTTCCAGTATTATCAAAGAAAAGACTTGACTTTTTAAAGGCCAAAATGGGGAAAGTAGTCATATCAGAGTATGCATCTCTTTATAAAAATGTAAAACTGGAATTGTCTAATATTTAAAAGTAACACTTAGGACCTCATTCTTTTAAGGGAACTTGTTTTCTACTGCTTGAAAGTAAGAGACAATTCCCTGTTGCCAAAGTCTGAAATCATATAGATATTTTTGGCAGGCAGCGCCAGTTTTTCTTTCCTGAGTCGCGAACGCTGTGCGTTTGTCAGAATGAAATATACAAGTCAGCCTTATTTTTTTCCTTTTTATATAATAATTATATAACTTATGCATTTATACACTACGAGTTGATCTCGGCCAACCAAAGATACAGAAAGGGACAATCAGAAATATTGTGGCCTTGAATTTTAACTCTGTATGCTTCATGTTTACATTATGAACTTAACTAGTACTTAGAAAGCAGAATGTATGTAATAAAATAAGCTTGGCCTAGCACGGCAATTCCAATTGACACTGTAGTCTGCATTTTCATCTCGTGGCTTTGATGCTAACCATGTTTTGTTCCAGATGTGTAATTTCTTTCTGTATTGACTTCAAAAGGTTTTGTCCATTTATAAACATGGAAAGTTTTACAAAAGCTAGACATCTGGCACATACTAGAGATTAAAGCAAAAAGGACACATCAATTGTTGATTCATTTTCCACACAGTTCAATATTAGTCATCAATGCAATTCAGCAGGCCAGGTGGGAGTAAGTGCCAGCCCACAAACTGGATTGACAAGTGCTATAAAAGAGCATAATATTAGTATGCCCATTCTGCTGGTATTGCAAAATTGAGACCTGGAAATGTTCCTAATTCTAGTTTTCTCCAGACTGAAAAAAAATGTCTTCAGAATTCAAAAGAGTTTCTAGTGGTAAGATACTGCAAAATCAGGGTTATCTATTTATAAATAATAAAACTTTATTTACTTCCCCGAGGGGACTCAGGACGGTATTTCAGCAAGGAACTGTCGCAGACTGACAACAAGAACATGCCCAGCATTCATTATTCTCACTTTAACAAATGTTAATACTTTCTTTGAAACCACTAAGGAAGAATTTAAATGAAAATTTCAAAGCAGAAGATTTCCCCCCTTTTCTTTGGTGTGTGTACTTGCTTTCAAGTCACCTATTGATTTATGATGACACAATGAATTTCATAGTGTTTTCTTAAACAAGGAATACTCACCGGTGATTTTGCCTGTTCTTTCTGCTTGGTAGCATTTTGTAAAACACAAAGTGTGTGTGTGCATAAGGTTGCCAGATCAAAAAAAAAAAAGAGGCTACTCTACCTTTAATGGTTGTACTGTTTATAGATGTAACCAAATAAGAAGCAACACCAGCTGAAATTCCCACTTCTACACGTGTATTAAAGGAGCCCACTCCAGTTTTGAATATGGCAATCCTAGACTAGTGTATATTATCCTTGTTCTCCTATGATCCCATTCAATTTCACTGTCTTTGCCAAAGCATTCACCTTTTAAATTATGTGAGGGATGGTTTGTTTTTTCACCAATTGTTAGCTATGATTTGAGAAGCAAATGGCTTATGTTCTTCTTGGAAGCAGAAAGTAGACATTTCCCATGTGTCTCATTTCAACCATAAGGAGCTACGATTAAGGGTCAAAACTATTGTGATGCTGAATGCACAAACAGAAGCTGTTAGTATGTTTTCTAACCAATCATAGAGCTGATTTAGAAATATAAGCCTGGATAAAGCAACTTGCAAATGAAGCCTGTGTTTATTATCCTTCAAATCACCTGTTGACCTGTGACAATCCTATGGATGACATTGCATTTTTAAGCAAAGTTTTGGCTGTTCCTTTTTCTGAAATATAGCCCTGCAGCACTTGTTATTAATTGGTGGTCTCCCATCCTAATAGTAACCTGCTTCCAAGATCAGGCAAGATATTTAGGCCAATTATACAAGGGAAGATATAAGTGGAGGAGATGGATTTCTTCTCCTTTTCCCTCACACTATCTGACAAATGGAATAATTTGTCTGTTAATGTGAGGGGGAAAGGAGAAAGAATCAATATCACTCTGGAAGAAGAGAAAGAATTAGTAGCTGCAGAAAAATAGACATATAGGGGAATGTTTGTTCCTTGAAATTAACTCATTTTATCATGCATACTGGAAGCTGGAATATGGGAAAGAAAGGAGGGTGAATCAGGATTCCCCCCTCCACACACACACACACACACACACACACAGAGAGACACTTCTGTGGCAAACACAAAAGTTCAAAGGACAAACAGGAGGTTCAAGAAGATAAACTTTATGCTGATACAAAGAAACAACTATATCATAAGAAAGAAAACAGTCTGCATTCTGCATGCACCCCATTCCACCACAGAGTGGTACACAAGTGAAAATTTGTGTTTTGTTCTGTTTTAACCCATGGAGAATGTGCATGAAATTATCAGAACCATGCAAGATGGCTCTGAATACAAGATCCAACCTTTTAATTTAGTGTAGGGGTTTTTAGCCACCAGATTTTGGGGGCAAGTGGTAAAACCCATGTTTGAGGTAGAAGTAAAATTGGAGCATGTCTTCAGATAATCAGAGAGATTGCCTATTCACATTAGTATCTGGAAAAACTTTTACTGTTGTGGTGTAAATTGTTTATTATCCAAAGCACAAGGAGAGAAGATTACAGGTGAAAGTAGGGGAAAGAAAATTTATCTTTAAAATCAGATATTTCCTATCTAAAAGGGAAGTGTTACCCTATTACCAGAATAACTCTGATGGAACTTAACATTAAAACCAAATAACATGCCTGTGGCTTAGGTTTGCCAGATGTTGTTCACTCTGACCCATAGATTTTAATGGAGATTACCTGGGTCAAATACCAGGCAGGTCTAACTAACATTGTGCCATCTAATTCTTAGTATAGCAAAATATCGTCAAAGAGACTAAGAAGGCTCCTGAATATATACCCTGATAATCCCAAATTCAGTTCCAGAAGAAGAAATTAAAAGATTAATATTAAAAGCCTTTGAAGTCTCAAATATTACACTGTGTTGCATATATGCTTGCTTCCTGGTTGATTATTTAAATTATTATATTTGTATATGGGCTTTGATCTCAACCAAAATTAATTGTATTAGCCTTAGCCCCTAAAAACTGTTTTTATTTATCAGGCTTTTAAAAACGGCATGGTTATTGAAACAAATTCATGTTTCTGTAGTAGAATGGTTATCATTTTCTGAATTTTCAGTAAGAACTAAGTTTTTTTAAAAAAAATAACAAAGCTTCCTCTTAAAGCTTCATGATAAAGTTTAATCCGAAGATCCAAAAACTGCAAATGAGTTCAGAAGAAAAATGTTCCACATTTCATAGTCAAGCTATTTTCTTGCTTTTAGATTTCAGAGGGAACAGAGCTGGAATTTCACTTAATGTACTTGGGGAACTAGATACAACAGAGCTCACAGTTCCTCTATCGTTCAGCTCCTGTCTAGATGAGAGGGGACTTCATCAGGAGTCTGTAGGCACTGAATTAATTCTGTAGAACTGGAAAAAGTCTTATAGTGTCATGGGTCTTGGTTGGATCATCATATATTTCTTCTTAACTTACACAAACAACATTCAGCTTATAAACCTAATTGGATATGATAAGTGCCTAATCCTGCTTTATACCTTCAGAGATTCTTCTGTACCTATATTCTTCCTCCTCCTACAGATTCTCTGATTCAGAGATAAGCCTCTTTATTGTATTTCATTCATTAAAATAAATGTAAAAGAGAATTTGCCTGGACATTTTTCTTTATCAATATATGCTATTAACTTATGCAGCTATTTTGAACTATTGGATTTGACTTGCACATGTTTTGGTACAGACTGGCTGAAAGAAAATGAATGAAAACTTTGTTGAAATTTCACAATATTCTGAAATTATTATTTACTGGGGTGGGGATTGCTGGTGTGCTTTCTTTTTTTGCTGCATTTTATGAAACTTACCCTCTAAATGTGCACAATTTTTTTAAAATTGTAGTTGTGTTTCTGTTGTATTTTAAAATATGTTTTGAGATATTCTACAAGCTACATCTGTTTTATGTGTTTAATAAGGAGCCCCGGTGGTGCAGTGGGTTAAACCCTTGTGCCGGCAGGACTGCTGACTAACAGGTCAGCCATCTGAGTCCGGTGAAAGGGGGTTGAGCTCCTTCTGTCAGCTCCAGCTCCCCATGTGGGGACATGAGAGAAGCCTCCACAAGGATGGTAAAATATCAAACACCCGGGTGTTCCCTAGACAATGTCCTCACAGAGGGCCAATTCTCTCACACCAGAAATGACTTGCAGTTTCTCAAGTTGCTCCTGACACAAAATAAAATCTATTTTACTTCTATACTTCAGAATGACCTGGAAGAAAGAGAAAAATATTTTTGGAAGAGGAACATCAAGGATTCTTTTGTTTTTACTACTTTCCATCTGATTTCTTAATATTGTTCCTTGCTGGAATACTCAAACAGCCTTTTAAAATACATTTCTCAGTTCTTCTTCTCCATAGTGTAGGGGCAGTACCCCCTTTCATTCTGAACTTTAAGTCTGGGGTAGGAATCATGAAGCCCACCTGATGCTGTTGGACTCAATTTAGTCTATGCCAGCTAAGGCTGATGGCATTTGCAGTACCAAAACATCTGGAAAGCTGCATGTTTCCTACCCCTATTCTAAGGGCCCTTGCCTTAGTGTGTCATTGGCCTTCTCACTTTGCTAAAGCCATGACCCACATTGTAAATTGTGGAGAGGATATGTGATGCATCTAGCTGATTGCTAATGAGCAGAGATTGTTGAACAGAGGTTACAGAGTTAAACATGAACCCCAAGTTTGATAGAAGAAAGCACATGGAAATTATATGTAGGCTTGTGGCATCCAGGTAAAGTCATGATATTTTTTTTCTACTGAGGCAAGAGTGCCAATTATGTTCCCCTCAATTTCAGGCTGTATTATTATTATTATTATTATTATTATTATTATTATTATTTTACCCCGCCTTCCTCCTTGAAGGGACTCAAGGCAGCTAACGGTCATACACTTTGATCAATTTAAAACAAAGCAGATACAAAAAATGATTTATTATTAGTAAATGTTTTATTTTTTATACTTATTTAGTAAATGTGTACACCTGGGGTCAGATAAAAATGTATTTGGGCAGAAAGGGGATGTGATAAAAAGGTTGCCAGCCAAAATGCAGAGTGAGCTCCCATATCTGCCACAAGCACTTCCCAATTAACTTCAGCACATGCAGAATCTTAATGTTTCAGAAAACATGAAGATAACTCCTTCAGACAACTCTTAGATCCAATAACAAAATGAATCCCAAAATTGTAATTTTGTTTTTAGTGTCAAAATTAAATGTACTCTGGAATGCTTTCCCACAGCAGATCTTCTGCATCCCTGCAGTTTAGTTTAAAATAGGATAGCCCTTTTGAGCTGTGGTGTTGGAGGAAAATTTTGAGAGTGCCTTGGACCAC